AGGATTTTCATTTCGTATTTTCGTTGGTCATTCGGAATCCTACTCAATCTTGTTTTTTTAAATTTTTTATGTTATCCTGATATCTTGCCACAATTAGTTTTTGTTGATCCTAAGCCTATTCTTGAGGTTCTATCACGTCTGCTAGCTCTCACTTACGTTGAGAGGAAAGCACTTCACCTAATTGCCAAACCTGTACCTTCAGAGAAAGATATCAGCAAACTTCATAACGTTGGTTTTTTTTAAAAAGAAGCTTTTGAAGGATCATTTCAAATCTCTTTTTTCTCCACCTCATTTTGAGCCGACTCATTTACTTAAGCTCCTTATTCATCTTTGTATCATTGCCAGTGGAGAAGATGGAGATTATTTCCTTCCTTGTGCTTTGGAGTCATACACTGAACCACCTGAACTTCAAATGGAAACCAAGCCTCTTCTTATAGTCTGGCAGGATAAAAATACTGTTCCAGTTCCACAAGGAATGTTTCCTTTACTCATTATTAACCTCCTCAGTCACAAAAATGACTATTGTACAGTAGACTTTCCTCAATCAACCTTTTCTCCATTGGATCCACAGTACTACAGGTATCGCGATGCATTGTCTTTGTGGATCAAAATTAAAATAAGAGTTTGGAAGCGTTACACACTTCACATAATCAATCACTACACTCATATTGAGGTTTATTTTGTTGGATCAGTTCAGAAAGCAAAGCAAATATGTCCTTATATTCGTAAACTAGTCATGAAGGCTGTCAGTGACAGTGCTAAAGCTATCAATATTGAATACAATCATGTCACTGCATTCTCTTGTCCTAAAAGAAGTACTTGTTACTGTGTTGTAGATGTGGAAGAGGAAGATTTTGAAACCAACTGTACATCCTGTGCTGATTCTGCTGATATAAGTGGTGATAGCTACTGGTGCTGGTTTGGTATAGTAGACTGTGACTCTAAAATAATAATGTCAGGTGCATGTAAGCCATTTAAGAATTAAAATTAATATCAGACATACATGTATTGTTCTGAGAATTGATGTACATGCATAAGTTCTGACCATGTTGCTGTGCATAATTAATAGTGATACTTTTATTCCATTTTCATAGATTCAGGACACTCACAAGTACTCAATGTATGTGATTTAGATGATATCCTTACAGACTTGAAGGATGGCCATTATTATAGTAGTGATTGGAAGGATCTAGGACTCAAACTGGGACTATATGATACCACACTGAGTGCTATAGAGTCAAATTACTTTGATGTTGAAGACCGCCTTAGAAAGTGTATAGTTAAATGGTTGCAGAGAGCTAATGGTGTAGATGATAAAGGAGGACCAACCTGGACCACACTAGTTAGAGCTCTTGAACAATGTGACAGCAAACCAACAGCTGAACACATCAGTGAGTTATTCATCTATGTTTATTTTTACGACCTGGGGGCGTAGCTCCCAGGTCGTCCTATAATGAATTTCACCCACGTGTGATATAATTATATTTGATTGTATGTCAACACTTCATTTCTTCTATACACGTTGTATTGGAGAAATAACAAGCCTTAGCAACCACCCGCCCGCGCTACGTAAGTGGGTGTGGTCACGGCAAACAAAATGACAGTTTACACATGGGACAAAGTAAGAGCTTTCTAACAGCGAAAGAACATAGAGATACTGTCTAAAGACTTTCTAGAAGCAGTAGAAGGTAGAGAGAACCTTCATAAGTCTTAATAAGAACCCAGTTATACATGCAAGGGGGTGAAATCAATTATAGGAATATTTTTAGACTGTTACGCTTGTTTATCTTAGATGTTTATGCATCTTTAATTATCAATTATATACTTACTGTTGTATAGGGTATAACAGATTTAAAAGAAATGCTAATCAATCACAGACTGATGATGAACTGTGTCCACCAACAAGTAAAAAGAATAAACATAAACCATAAACTAATATCTTGCTAAAAGATATGATGCATGCACCCTTTTTATCATTTTTGATTTCTGATTCATGATAATTAAAGTCAAACTTTTGCCACCTTTTATAAGAGACAACCATTCACATACATTAATTTTTATATGTCTTCTGTCTTCAGTAAAAAATTTTAAATAGTTGGAGGTGTGGTTTAATTAATTATAAGCACTTAAGCAGGGATAGTTTATAATAAAATGGCTGCCAGAGGAGTAACTTGTAAAGTTCTCTGGGACAGTAAAGGGAGCCTGTTAGTAGAGTTTGATAACGTTACTGTATTGAGTAAGGTCAGTGGTATACATACCGTATATATTGTTATTAATAGTCCCTGTATAGTTTATAGGAACACCTCCTCTCATTAATTCATATATTAATAGAGGATATGCGTGCTAAGTATATTCATTGCAAAATAATTATATTCATTGCATACCGTAATAACTTTCAAGAAAAAAAATTAGTTCGTTGGACGTCAACTTTCCATTGGCAGCAATGGAGAAATGATAGAAAAAGGCTTGGTACCAGGAAACCGCTCTGTATTTCTTGATAGCAATCTTTCAGGTGACTACTAGACCCCATTAGATCCTCAGGATGCTTTCTAAGCTTCCGAAAAAGGCCTCAAGAAGGTAGCAAGGCAAGAAAATGTGTTTTCCCCCATTGAACTCTTAATAAACTTGACGTCCAACATGGCGGCCAATTTACTGTGTGGGTTGTATATACGGTACTAAAAAGCTATGAATATACTTAGCACGCATATCCTCTATATAACACAATACAACAGAATAGACTGTACTGATGTATCAAGTAAGTATTGTACTTTATACCCTACACCTCCTAATATTGGACTGGGGGATTTTGGATTAATTTTTTGATGATTGGCTGATTTTAATTTGATGAATTTGTGTCCATGTGCCATTGAGCATGTACATAATGGTACAAAATGGTGTGTTTAGTAAATGGCTGTCAAAATGCCAAATTTTCTTGTTCCAGAATTACCTGTATAGTACCTTGAATATTTATTATTAATTTATTATTTTATTTATTTATTAGATGGTTTCTATCTTGAAGTGTTAAAGTATTTAACATTATTTATTAATGAGGAGGAGGAGACAAACATCACTGATAATAATAATAATAGACAAAAGTAAGACCAACTATTATTTATTTATTTGTTGTTGTTTATAGTTTGGTTACAGTCACTGGTATTGTTGTATCTGTTAGTCCAGTCAAGAGGAACGGTTGCCATGGTGACATGATGTACTTTATTTCAATGAAAGAGAACAAGAGATTACTATCAATAATTATAACAGTAATTAATATAATGATTATTATTATTATTATTATTATTATTATTATTATTATTATTATTATTATTATTATTATTATTATTATTATTTATATTATTATAAAAATAAAAATAACGAACATGTA